AGGTGAGGACAGTTTTTGCATTTCAGAAAGCTAAATTTTATGAATTAAACTTTTTCTTTAAAAAAAAAAAAAAAATACGTTATTTAATAATTTCAATAAAGTGACCAAATTGTGGTGCTACTTTTCTCTAAGTTTTGCCAATTTCACTTAATTCTTATTTTTAGGATTGTAGAATTCTTTGCCAGAAACTCATCGAGTTAGAATTAAGGAGTGAATTATGAGGTATGAAAGCCTATCATTCTGGAACAACTTATTCAATTGGTGGATATTCCAGTTAATAAAATATTTTTTTCCTTTTGTTTTCTTGTTTTAATAACATTCACACTAAGTATTATTATTATTAATGAAGCAAAATGAAAAACAGAAATCTATACTGATGGGTAAAAAAAAATAAACGGAATTTCCTAAAATTTCTCTCTCTCTACATATATATAGTGCGATGGATAAATTGTCGTTTAAATGCCGCAAAAATGAAAATAACACTGACATGTCATTTTAACAGATATATTTACCAAAATGGCACAAAAATATCTAGAAATACTAAAGAATAAATTTATTTAATAAAAAATCGTCACTGGCTTCAACCACGACTTTGGAATCTCCGGCAACTCTTCTGGGCCGTCTTCTTGTTCAAGTTGGTGAATGCTGCCATAATCCTTTTTTTTTTTTTTATTAAAAATAGGCTTATTTTTTTTTTTTCAAGACTACAAGTATGGGGCACTTAATGCGGACTAAATTCTTTTTCTTGTAATGATCCGTGAAACCATTTTATTTCTAACTATTCATTACTAAAGAGAGGCGGTCTTTCTTTTTTTCTTCTTTTTTTTTTCCATATAAAAAAATGTCGGAGGTGGGGGACTCTGCCATTACTTACTCTCTTCTTATCAATTTAAAAAAGAAAAGAAAATCCCAAAAAGTACAGCTTGACTGAGTCAATGTGAAGTAGCCATATACAAATTCCACTAACCAGTCTACTCTCCCACCCACCATCGCAGAGTTAAGGAAAGGTAAATAAAATAAAATGGACTTTTAACCAAATGAGCCAGACCCTTGCCCCTTCTTTGTGTAGTTGGTCTCTAGAATCGTCTATCTGACATGCTGACTGATATAAGAGTAAGTAAAATATCAAAGACCTAAATTCCCGCTCGTGGGTCAAATAATTTATACATTCCAGCTCTGGTGAAGCAAATTAGCGGATTTTCCTTTTTCTTCCCCATAAGGAAGAAAATTTTATTTTTCAGTTGGATATTTTCCGCGACAGTTTTTTGAGTGCTTTGCCATGTTTGGAAGCGAGAAGAGTAGACTAGAATGTTAACGATAGACTGACCGACCAAATTAACCGGGGTTGTCGTATATGGAGCTTGGCTGTCGCATTAATGTGTGGAAATGTGTATCTGTTTTTGCTATTTTGTTTTCCGATGTTGAACGCATCGTTTTGGGCGTGTGGTTCTGCACCACGCACTTACTCTGGGTCAGACAGACTGACACACACACAACACAACAAAAAACCACACGCACACACGCACGCAACGAAACAAAACACACACACACACAACGAAACAAAACGAAACAAAAAAAACACACACACACACACAACGAAACAAAAAACACACACACACAACGAAACAAAAAAAACACACACGCACACACAACAAAACAAAAAAAACACACACGCACACACAACAAAACAAAAAACACACACGCACACAACGAAACAAAAAAAACACACACACACACACACAAACACACACACAAAAAAACACACACACACACACACACACACACAGAAACAAAAAAACACGCACATACACACACCAGGAAACAAAAAACACACACACACCAGGAAACACTAAAAGGTGTGTGCAAATGTTCTCGGCATTTCTCTCTCCCTCCCTCCCATAAAAATTAAACGAAGTACACGTTGAAAACAGTGTTGCAATTATTATCATTGTTATTATTATTACCACCTCAGGGTTATTTTATTTTTATTTTTCTTTATTATGAAATTTTTTTTTTTTTTTTTTTTTTTATTATAAAAAAAAAATTTAATTTTTAAAGATAGGCATGATTTTAGTTTTTAGGGATAATTGTCAAAATAGAATCCAAAGTTAAATATAGCTATTTGAAGGCTAGTGCTTAAAAATTAATTTAAGTCACATTTCCTGTTTAATCTAAAGTGCATGAGGGGGGGGCATTTATTATTAATTTTTGAAGGGGAAATTTCCTCCTCTTGAGCTTATTAAATCCCAATCCCCATTTATTAAGACTTAAGACCTACCCATTTATTTCATGTTGAGAAAATTCTGACTTCCCTAATTATTAAGACCTTTCTCTCCATTTGTATTAGGCACCTCATAAATAGTATATTACTTTTGTAATGGATCAAGTGACAGCAAGTCGACCAGTAAAACTCACCCGATCCTTTGTATAAATATGCAAATGAATGAATAGTAGCAATGTTGAACTTGAGATGATCAATACATCGTCAGCAACTGCAGTAGCTTAGAAATAAGAGAAAAAGAAAGAGGCATGATTGGGTGGAAAGTATTATCTACTAGGAACTGTGCAAATAAGTACAATTTAATCATACAGACCCATTGTATATGCACAAGCCAGTATCTATTTAAAAGGAAAGAAAGGGTACTGATATTTAGAGAACTTAAAATGATTACTTGGTTACTTATTTTAGTGCATTATTTTACTTAGAATTATTGCCACATGATGCAGACAATAGTGCATAATCTAAACAAATTAGCCAAAAATAATCAACAGTGGCTTTTTATAGCCATCTGTCACATTATTGCCAACTAAAACTGCTTTTACATTATTTAACCTTTTTTCAATTGAATAAAAGCCTTTCTTTTTGTTTGTTTCATTGTAGACGAAAAAGGTAGAATTTTTTTTTTTTTTTTTTTTTTTTTTTTTTTCAAAAGTAAAATTAATTGTTCTAAGTAACATAGTTAATCAAAATAAGTGCTGCATAATTAGTTGCAGAAATGAAATAATTTAAAAATAAATAACTGGGCTTGGAGGATCGAAATGAATCATCTAATCCTGGACAGAAAACTGATGATCAACAGAGACTGAAAGAAAAAGAGAGAGGGAAACTGAGACTGAGAAATTTAGTATTTTGCTGTTCCAGTTGACCCCACTTTGAAAAAAAAAAAAAAAAGCTAGATAAATATCTGAACCTTACTAGAGTGACAGTTGTGCCAGTTGTTGTTGGAGAACTTATAATATTTTGAAAATGCTAGAAGAACTAGAAATCTGTGGAAGAACTGCTTGTACTGATATTTCTGAAAACGGAAGAATAAAGCAAGTATGAGCGACTTGTTGTCACTTGATCTCCATTAGTTCATCATATTTATACTGAAGCCGAACAAAAGAAATCTTTTTTTTTTTTTTTAAGGAAAAAAGAAACATTTGTTTTTAAATTGATACTCATTGATGATCAATTATTCATGAGACTTAAGGGTATAAGAAGTCCTGGGACTGAGAGGTCATGAGAGTGAGGTCAATTCCCATTTATTTATTGTTTCTTACCACTTAAGACCTGTACAACTTAGTTTTTTTTTTATACTTCATGCTGACCTCCTGATCCACTCCACTTGGATTAAAAACAGAAGTCACTAGCAGTGCCGACCCATTGTAGTTTGAACCACACCTCCAAACTAAAAATTGCCAAGGAATTTCTAACCCCACTAGGTTAATAGATCCCCCGGAGAGACTTTTTTGAATTTTAGTATTTAGTGTTTTTGTAATCATAATAAAAACACAAGAAATTTGGTACAGTTTATTTAATTGTTGATGTTAGTTAATTTTTTTTTTATGTTAATTTTTTTTCATCATATAGTGAACATATAATTTTATGTTATTTTTTTATTTTTATTTTTATTTTTTTTTGTGGGGCACCCCTGTAGTATTACACTTTGATACTTAGAAAAATTCATTTAAATGAGATGCTGAGATGGTGAATATGTTCTTCTTTCTCAGCTGACAGAAAAAAAAGTCATTATGATCATAATTTTTTTTTTTTATGGTATCAGAATTTTTAGCAGCTTTATTAATAGTTACAGATTTGCTAATCTGGTATATAATAATTTAGAGGCCTTAAAACGATTACTTGGTTACTTATTTTAGCGCATCATTTTATTTAAAACAATGTAGACAGGTATTGAGCTTACAACTCTTTGAGTCTAGTCACTGGATCTGACCAATGCGTTTATCCACTGGTCTGTGTGTTAGTGATGAACCAAAACTTGGAGAGTTGAGTTAAAGGGAAATAACTGAGACATCCGGAAGAGGCATGACACGTGGAACTAGGACAATCTACCCTGGTGGATGAAATAAAGGGTTCGGTTTGAAGTTCCAATCACCTGAATAAGGCCAGAGCTTACAATGGCTGAAACATTGTGAATATGGCAGGGAAGATGAGGATAACAGTGTGAATAGTGTAAATAATGTAAGGCTCAATTGTTATATTAATATGTAACAATAACTCTTTGAGTGCAGATCCAAGATCTCAAGACTGATGAATACACTGTGGAGTAATGGATAGTGGCTCAGATTGAGAAATAGAAGAGCTGAGTTCAAATTCCAGTCAGATCCATTACATTCACTTATGTGCTAATACCCTTGGGAAAGGTATGAATCACTCTTTTTCTCTCAGCTATGGGTAAATTATCAGGACAGACTGGGTTGTATAGCCTTGGGTGGCAACCAGTCTAGAAGGAAAACTCTGAATTCGAACTGATTTAGAGAGGGTTGGGCTATCTTGCCCAAAAAACGTCACTTCTATTGTGGCTGCAGTGCATGTGATGTCCTTATGAACCTGATGGGTCATGGGATTCATGTGTGTATTTTTTTTTTTTTTTTTTTTTCTAATTAACTTTTATTTCATGTTAAACTGTTTAAAAGAAAATAAAGCATGGATACCAGTTCTATAGCTATTTCCATGACATGTGTTTTAATGAGCTACGTTCTTTGTCATAAGAAAGACAATGCCACCTGGCGTTCTTCGTGTAAGGAAGATCATTCATTTCTTGCTTGGTAATATTAAAATTTAAGCATTAAATAGAAAATGTGTACACACGCACTTGGTGTATTATATAGTGTGATAATTTTATATTTTAAAAATTATTCTTACTAGTATTTTTTTTCTTTTTTTTTTTTTAGTTCCTAGCAGGAAGAGGAATAGTTTGGCATTGAATCTTTGCTAAGGAAGACAAATACTTTGCCGTTGAATATTCAAGGATGAAAAATAAGCATTATTTTTTTTTTTATTTTTTTTTAAGTTATAGAATTCATTAGTCTCTGAGATGTAATGAGTTGAAGAGTGTTATGCCCCTTAGATCTCATCTAATTTCATAAAATAGTAAGATGAGCTACAAAGGTGATAAACTGGTGAAGATCATTTTAAAATTTAATGACTTTGACAAGTAAAGCAAAATCAATAAATTGATTTTCAACTAAATTGACATTCCAAAGTGCTTTCCAGGGACAAAAAAAAAGAACTTTATTGAAGTGGCACCTTCATTGACTTGCTGCAAATGTTGGCTGTTAATTAAGAGTGTTTTTTTTTCACATTTTTTTTTTTATATTTTTTAAAATTCTTAAACTTTGTGTAACATTTGCTTTCACTTCTATATCCTAATTTAGAAGTTGAATCCTTTTTCATTCTCTCTTTTTTGTTTTTTCTCTTATTTTTGTCTGTTTTTCTTTTCATTTTTCTATCACCATTTTCCTTTTCTTTTCCTCTTTTCTTATGATTTTTTCTTTCTTCTCCCCTTTCTTTTTCTTTCTTCTCCCCTTTCTTTTTCTTTCTCTTTTTCTCCCCACCCCGGCTTTCTAGGTACCATCATATTAATATATATGTATTCCTTTCATATTTTTAATCTTTGCAATACATGTTAGAAAATCAAAAGGTGGTAAAAAGATCATACTGGCTTTTTGTTTTATTTTTTTAATTTTTTTTTTTTTTTTTCTGGATTGAAATCCACCAAACTAGTTACAGAAATCTATTTTTACTTTATATAAATTTAAAGAAACTCTTGGGACAAAGCCTCAACCTGCAGTCCATTGCTCTAATCACTGAACTATATTCGTGAGTTTGGGATTTTATTAAAGCTCCTTAAAGGATTTCCATTAAAAACGAACTCCTTTCATATCGCTCTATAAAATACTTTTTAAATTTTGTGTATTTCAATTGTTTAGAATGTCAGTGTTCTAACCATGAAACCTGTGTTCGATTTATACCATGGTCAAGTGACTTCTTGGTAATTTCAGCATGTGGCGCCATTACAAAATGAAAAACCCATTAAAGTTGACCTAATTTTTTATTTTAGTGAAATCAGGTTGATAAAACTGTTTAGAAACTGTTGATGAAGCATGAAGTCAAATGTCTGTATCGTGACCCAGGGTTTGAGCATTTTTATCATTTTGGCTTTGTTGAACTATTAATTACCATTTTGTGAGCTCGGTGTCGTCAAACTGTAGTTTGAATTGCAACTATGTGTCTGAGCAGGCATCTGCAACATGGATTAAATCCGCCTCGCTGGGCTAGGATTGATGGGAGTCTACAATATCCATTAAGTGGTACATATCTCCTTTCCTCATAAAATAATTGCTGATATAATGTAGGTTAAAAACCATAGTTATTATTCCTTATGTACCCAGTCTATCAAAAAAGATGGCAGTTGTTAGAATGTTTTAATAGTGAGATGCAAAGAAATAAAATGTCTTGAGATTCAGTAAAGTAGAGATGGAGACCTCACAACTAAAAGGCCAATGAACTGTTTAATTCCATCTTTCAATGTTATATATATATATATATATATATATATATATATATATATATATATATATATATATATATGATTGAATAAAAACAATGAACTTTTCATACATTTAAAAAAATTATATTTGCTCTGAATTTACATTGAGCTCTCTGGATATCATCCTCCTTGGGTTAAAAATATGGATTACCTAGTTTTCATAAACTAACTATATATATATATATATATATATATTGTCATTCAGACAGACTGTTTTTATATCTCAGCTCATCAGTGTGAACATCAAAACATCTGGTTGCCTTAGCTTGTTTTGAAACCTGACTGAATCTCAAAAGCAGTGTTTTTTTTTTTTACCACTTTTGAGTTTTGCATTTTTTGGATGAAGGTGAATTTTTTTTTTTTTATTTTTACATTTTTGTGGGTTTTTGAGAGAACTCGATTTTTTGTTACTGAAGAGTCATGCATTATTAACCGTAATTTTGGCTTTTTACAAACCCACTATTTCTTTTTAGAGAGCTCACCTTGAAATTTTTTTTTCTGATCATAAAAAAAAATACATACACACACACACACACACATTCAACGGTATCTACGATTCATTGATTACTCTTGATATTATATAAATTGAATTTTGCTCAATATTTTTTCATGTTAACATATTTGTGTTTAATGTAACAGTGAAATTCATGTGTGTGTTTCTATAATTCATGTGTGTATTTTTTTTTTCTAATTAACTTTTATTTCATGTTAAACTGTTTAAAATAAATAAAGCATGGATACCAGTTCTATAGCTATTTCCATGACATGTGTTTTAATGAACTACATTCTTTGTCATAAGAAAGACAATGCCACCTGGCGTTGTTAGTGTAAGGAAGATCATTTATTTCTTGCTTGGTAATATTAAATGTTTAATGTTTCGATATTTAACAGCTTCATCAGAAATTTTATTTTTTTCTGTGGTAGTGAAATAATGTGGAGCAAATAATAAATTAAGAATTATAAACATGTGTTCCTAACTATTCATTTTATGCTAAAGTAATGCAGAACTAAACCAAGATGAATGGCATATATATATATATATATATATAATATATATATAATATATATATATATATATATATATAGATATATATATATATATATATATATATATATATATAATATATATAAAAGAAGTTGAAGATGACTAGTCTGATAATTTTATTTGTGACCTTAATTATTTAAACCCATTTGATTATCAGAGAAAGGTCAGTAAATTGTTGATTTGAAATGTCAAAGATGTCACAAAGTACATCTATGAATAACTAAATATGTTAGCTCTATTCTGATATTAGTTCTGAAAACTTGTCTAATAATGTCCTATTCATATATATATTTACTTAAATAATTATTCATCATATATATATATTTATTTATAGTTATTGATCATTGATTTGCATATATATATATATATATATTAATATATAAGCCATATATATATATATATATATATATAAAATATATATATATATATATATATATATAATATATATATATATATATATATATATTTATATATAAATATATATATAAATATATGAATATATATATTATAAAATATATATATATATATAAAATAATATATATATTGGGAAAATATATATTTATTTATAAATATATATAAATATATATATATATATATAATTATATATATATATTTTTATATATATATATATATATATAAAATATATATATATATATATATATAATATAAAATATATATAAAATATATATATATATATATATATATATATATAATATATATATTAATATACACACACACACACACACAATAGTGTATCCATGCTGTCAAAAATGACGGTAATTGTTTGAATGTTTTAATCTTGAGATGCAAAGAAACAAAAGTCTTGAAACAATGTATTGAAAGTTTCATAAAGCAGTTAAAGAACTCCCAACTAAAAGAAAGTTGAAGCAACCATTTAATTAGTCCATTCCCTTTTATATTTTTTTTAGACATTCAATGGTATCTATGATTCATTGATTATTCCAGGTGTTATATAAATCTATCGGTGAAGGAAGATAATGAAACACAGTTGTATTTTAAGACTGTGTTTGTACCTGGTATATGCAAACAGTTTGAACTTTATAATTACTAACTAATACTATTGTTATTTCTGTATTCACTTACCCAGTATTTTGAATAATTTCAATCCTGAAAGAAGACCTGGAGAATTTAACACATGCAGGGCTTCTTTTTTTTTTTTCTTTCTTTTTTAATGCAATATACCCAATGCAAGATCTGAGAGTCGCTCTGGATAAAGGTTTGCTGAATGGGGCTGCTTTAATGGACTTTTTATACATTATGAGGATATGTAGGATAGATAAAGGTTGACCCTGGGCTTGGAAAGGTTAAGATTGTAGCATTTGGGGAAATATCCTGTTGGGAGTCTATTCTACAAAGCTGCAGGCAAGAGAAGCCAGGGGAAACAAGTAACTGACTTGACGAGTTTAAAGTAAATTGATGGCAGAAGAACAAAGGGGTAAAATTTCTTAGAGAGGGAGTTGTGGAGAACCATGATCTTTCATGTCCTTGAAGAACATGACACATAAAAAAAGTTATTGGTTTAAGTTGCATGACATAACCAGAGGGTTGTAATTATTGAATGATTCAGTGGAATCTTTTTTTTTTTTTTTTTTTTTTTTTTTTCATTCTCTGAATTGGCCATTGAAAAGGAAATTAGTTTCTTGTTGGAGTGAATATTTTTTTTTTTTTTTTTTTTTTTTACTTAAAAGGAAATTTTATGGAGAATAGTTAATAACTGAAAGAAACATTGCAAACATTAACAATCAAAAAGCTGAAATTTAAGGAATACTTAATCATGAAAGAAGGCTTGATGAATTTAACACTTACAAGACTTTCTTTTTTTATTTAATGCAATACACACAATTCAATGGATATGTAGGACAGATAATGAGCGATCCTGGACTTGAGAGGCTAAGATTGTAGTGTTTAGGGAAGTATCTTTTTGGGAGTCTATTCCACAAAGTTGCAGCTCTGTGTCTCTCTCTTTCTCTCTGTGTCTCTCTTTCTCTCTGTGTCTCTCTTTCTCTCTGTGTCTCTCTCTCTCTCTCTCTGTCTCTCTCTCAATATTTAAGTTTCATCAGAATTTTTTTTTTTTGTGGTAGTGAAATAATGCAGAGCATATAATAAATTAAGAATTATGTGTGTGTATATATACACATATTTTCTGTGTATATGTATTTGTACATGTTTATATGCCTTGTGCGTGCATGCATTTTTTGTGTGTGCACACTTGTTCATGTGTTTCTGCATATATGTATACATTTTGTGTGTGTGTGTATATATATATATATATATATATATATATAATAAAAGTGTGTGTCTGTTTTTAACCATTACTACACTAATCTCTCTTTCTAGAATTGTTCCCCTACCATTTTTTTTTTTTTTTTTTTTTTTTTTTTTTTTGAGGGTAAAAAACATGAACACCTACTGTTTTAAAATTGTTATAACTTTCTTCGTATTGTGCATATAGATTTTAATTTTTGTACACTAATAAAAGAATAGATGAGTAATATTTTGATGTAATGCATTACATTTTGCATGCATATTTTGATGTTGAAAACAAAAAAAATTGAAACATAAGATAAAAAATGCAAAACAAATACATAAATAATTCAACGTACTTTAATTTTTATTACTCCTTGTGGAGTTCTGTCAGGTAATAAGAAGCAAAATTGCTAAAAAGGCTTTCATTTTGTCAAAAAAGTGACATGTTTCCTTGTGTTTACATACGAAAAGACACTAGCATTTTTTTTTTTACTCTTTCTTTTACCTGACTCATAATTATTTGTCTCATTGACGAATAAAGTTATTGTTTCGTCATTTATAAATAGACAAAATAATTCACCTTCAGAAAGGCTATCAGGTATATCGATGGTCACCAGTAACTTCCTTAAAATTAGCCGGTCATGGATGATAGTAGTTGTTAGTGGTCATTGTCATTTTCCTCCATGTCACTAGTGTGGTTATCATCTCCAAATACTTCACTGTCAATATCCACTCGAGTAAAGCTTTCAAAATCATCATTGGAGTGTTAATCAAAGAAACTCCTAAATAAAAGCTTTGTTGGATATTGACGTGGCCATTTTTGTTTACAAAAAAATTAACATGGGTTTAATCGGTGTTACACCTCATGTAGAGTCTAGAAGAATTCAAAATGGCATTAGAAAGCAGAAGTTTAGCCTTGTTCCAAAACAGTAGTAGGTGATTTCCAGCTTAAAATACCGGAAATAAAAGTTGACAAGTGTTTATTTATAGCAACCGTCTCAGGCGACACAAGTCACCGATAGCAGTAAGGGAGAGAATTCTATGGTAACTATTGTCGTCTGTAGTGCGGTAAAGGTTAATGGTGGTGCTAGGTGAATAATTCTTCATCATGTTATTTCTTCAAGTATTTTCAGGTGTTTGGACCATCTAGATTGTAAAGTTGCCAGAGGGGGTGAAAAAAAAAACACTTATCCTGTTGAAAACTACTTCACTCCCTGAAGACGGCCAAAATGTCTGAAAGTATTTACAGAAATAACAGCAGAAATTTTATAAATTCTGTCTGAATTTCAGGGATGAGGTGTAACCATTTATTTGTATGCGGGCTACTGACCCCCATCTTTGTTGTTATCACAACATTTTGGCTATTGTCCCCTTCAGCCATAATCAGATGATTATTGATCTGGGTAACCTTCAGAAAATTTCAAACTGAACACTTTATTTAATCTACAGAATAGATTGCATTCCATTGCCGACGTTCAGGGATATCATTATTATTTAGATAAGATAAGATATCACTAACTCCATAATACTGTAATATTAAATGTGAATTGACAGGGTAGAAGTGGAATGTTTTTGATGCCAAACTAAGCTTTGCTCTCTTTTTCTCTCTACATACATACATACATACATATACACATATATACCGTGTGTAATGTTTAGTATCAAAAAACCACTAAACTAATTGAGTTACTTTTTCCAGGTTTTCAGATAAGACGTTTAGCCACCTTGACACCATTTGTCATAAAAATTACTGAAAAACCCTTTGAATTATTCAGCTAGAAAGAGAACAGGTTAAAATCATTTTGTCAGCCCCACTGTCTTCCCAACTGAGCAATGGTGAGAGAGAGGAATAAGATCATTCAAGTCTTCTGTAATGGTACCAACATTCATACTCTGACTTACATCTTCAAAGTCCGTTAAGAAGTGTCAAGAGAATGGTGAATAAGTTTAAAAAAAAGGGGGAACAGTAGAAAGGAAAACCATATCAGGAGGTCATTTCAGGTTAGAGCTAAATATATTCTTATTGTTCAAAGTAGATTCTAATAGTTTTATAAAAACTTTGGAGAATTTCAGATACCTTTATCCTTTCTAAGATACAATGGTTCAAGGCTTGGAAAATTTTGCTGTTACACTGTGTGTGTGTGTGTGTGTGTATATATATATATATATATATATATATATATATATTATAAATTAATTGATTTAAAATATGGTTTTTTCGCTACATAGTTCTAACCATGTTTCAAAATGGAAGCCAAAAAGCCACTTAATTTAATTTTGTGATTAAATTAAAGACATTAGTTCCATTTCATCCTCAGTTTAATATTAATGCTCTGTAAATTTACATTGAGCACTATTTTATAAAAATAAAAATATCTATAAGAACACCGGATTATATATCTTGCTGTTCTTTCTTTTTATTTATATACATATACATATATATATATAAATAAATAAAAAAAAAATTTAAAATGACTCATCTTCTGAATTCCTGTTTTGTTTATCGGCATATCAACTCCTTCATGGGTCATTCATTTAATGCCAAAATGTAATTTTCTTGGGAGCTTTGAAGTAATAAAAATATGATGCACGTTATTCTACTTTCACAATTGAATACATGGTAGATGATACTTAGCTTTTGTTCATATAGATGTTTGTGTGGACACAATTACTAGGGGCAGTGATATGTGTGTTTTATGTTGCAGTTTTGTTCAAGTTATATTTTGGAAAACAATTCGATTTCTCCAAGTCATTGTAGGATATTATATGGATTAATATCATGAAAGTGTTTTTTCATGTTGGTTGATTTCATTTTGTGGCATATCAACACCTTTATGGGTCATTTAATGCCGAAATCTAAATAATTTGAATGCAATTGTATGCTTTCAGTTACAGATAAAATGTATTGTCGGTAATTCTACTACAAAATGTTTTGTCGGTAATTCTACTATAAAATGTATTGTCGGTAATTCTACTATAAAATGTTTTGTCGGTAATTCTACTATAAAATGTTTTGTCGGTAATTCTACTATAAAATGTTTTGTCGGTAATTCTACTATAATTCTACTATAAAATGTTTTGCTAGTCATTTTGCTATAAATATATACATTGTTGGTAGTGTTACTATGAAAATGTATTTTTATATTTTCATAGTGTTTTGTTTTTGTTTGAGTGTTCACTTTTTGCCCATCATTGGGTCCCTAGCAGATACTTCCATCCTGGGTCAGGGTAGATCTGGGAAGAGCAACAACTAAGAGGTGGTTCCATGCTTCTCAACACCTCAAATCTCCCAATTGGAAGCCTTGCTACCGGATGTAGTTTATCATCATACCCAGGACTGGAATTGATTTTTACCAGATAAACTGCTTGTCAGGGTCAGATAAATCTATTGCATTCATTAACAGATATATTTATATAGGCTACATAAGAAAAAACTTGGCTACAAATAAATTTAAAACATTGTTTAATGAATATATAATAAATTAGTTATACTCTTGATGGTTGGGGTAATCTGTTACTGTTTGGTCAAATCTGTTACTGTTTGGTCAAAGGTCATCAGTAAATTTGGAAAGTAAGTAACCTTGGATATTTATATATTAAGCTGTATTGGCCAATTTGGCCATGTTCTCTTCGGTTACCATTGGAGAGGTTGAATGTGCATCTAGCCATTAGAGAGACAATTGGGAATAAACAGCGAACATATTTGCTGGCTGAAGCCTTAGGAGAGGATGGATAGAATGGTGTGTACATTCTTCACATTGCTTTGGCACACATGCCAAATTAAATTTTTTGGGGGGGGGGGGGGGGGGTTGGTCAGGGCGTGTAAGATAATCTAAATAAACTTTGGCTGTTCTTATAAATATTAAACAGTGTTAGTTAGCGACCCTGAGTTTGTTCACGTCTTTTTGTAATGTAAAGGATCCATTCTTTTTTTTTAATTTTTTTTATTATTTACAAGAGGCTGCTTTCCACGGTCATTACAATTGTTCCCTTCACATTTTTGTTAGTAAGAAGGGAGGTCCACTCAAACAGCATCTTCCCAAAGACCACTACAATCTTAACCTGTTAAAGTTTTGGATTAACTGTTATCTTTCGCACGTAACCTCATAAATTGTCCCTCTGTAACTATCTACCTTGATTGGCTCTTGGGCCTTGTACAGGGTTAACATTAGTTAAAAAAAACCCAACAAAACAGGATGTGCATTGTGGCATAATTGACATTGGCTTGGAATTAGAAATCAGAGAGCAGAGTTCCAATTCCAGTTAGGTTCATTACATTCACTTACATGCAAATACCCTTGGGAAAGTAATGAATGCATCTCTTCCCTCCAAGCTATGAGTTGTATAGCAGGACAAACTGGGCCCTATAGCCTTGGTTGGCAACCAGCTTACCGTGGGAAAAAAAAAACAAACTACAAACTACTGTGGGAAAATCTGCCTCATCAGTCATAAATCGAAAGAGCAATGATCACTCAAGTGTGTATCACATATGGCACTTAACTGTCTGACACAAGGCTAGATCTGCAGAGCATCAAGTTATGATTAAATTTAATTTTATAAATATATTCTTTCAACGCAGCAACAATTATTGTTTTTTATTTTGTTTGATTCCCCACCCATACCTATATATATATATATATATATATATATATATATATATATATATATATATATAATATTAGTGGTAAATATACACATACATGTATATTTTTTGAATAATAATTCAAGAGGATAGAATCAGGTAGAACTCAATGTCCAGGACAGAGTAAGGATATAATAAAAAAGGCTTAAACATTAATATTC